AACCAACCTGTACTGAGTTTTATGTGCTTTGCACTGCATTAGACATTCATGTAGATTAGAATTTATATTAGGACTCAGGTTTCAGCTCTGATATGTGAAGCACTGGAAAGCCCATTCCCACCCTTCCAAGAAAAAAGCTAGACAAACTCTTTGACCTAGCTGAGAAGCAAGGTTACAGGGCAAACCACCATCTCCATATCTGAAGAGCCAGGTGCCTGCACACATCGTCTGAGCAAATAAACTGGTAGGAAGATTAAACTAGAAATTCTGATAAATTACTGAAAGCCAAAGTATAGGATGTCTTAACAGTACAAAACTCCTGGGCTACACATGGGTGAGGGCAGGTATTTTCATCTTTTTACAAATTTTTCCTACAGGAGCCCCACTAGATTTTTACAGGGAGGTTGGGAAAAATCCCAGAGAAAGCTTTTCATCATTATGCTGGTTGGCTGAGAAAAACAGCACCCATTGTGAAATTCACCCAGGCCCCTTTCCTTTATCTCCAGTACAGAACAAAAGCCTTAAGCTGAAGGGGGAAGGGCTTAAAACCCATGGCTTGAAGACACTGGTGTCTTCACTGCAGCAGGAGAAAAGGAACAGGCAAAAAGGAAAAGAAGCTCACTCCTGGAGGAGGGGCAGGAGATCTTGTAAAGGACACACTCAAGACCCAGGTTCCAGTACCTGCCTAAGTTTTAGGCTTAATCAAATCATCAGAGAACTCCTTACCCCCCCCCCCCACCAACCACCACCTGGCATATCAGCTACATGGTTAATAACAGTGGAATACAACTGGGAGGGCTGTAAGGGACAACTCTTGGGAAACAGCACAAAGGAAAAACCCAAAGCCAAGTAGGAGGCATAAAAAGGTATCATTAGAGGAATCAGAAATCTCTGATGCCCATAGCAAAAACAAACATCAAATATAACCCAACTCCCCCTGCCTAGGTTAACTCAAGTACCCACACTAAAGGCCTAGTCGAAAGAAAACCTGTGTTCTTCTCCAAAAATATCAATTATTTACCTCAGTATTTCCTGCCCACATTCAGTTTTCAACATATTTATGAGGCATAATGAAAGGCGAGGTAATATTCCAAGTGACAAAGCAATCATCAGATCCAGACTCAGTATGACACAGATGTTGGGGCTATCAGAAATGAAAATTAAAATTATGGTTAATATGTAAAGACTCTAGTGGAAAAAGGAGATACATGCAAAACAAATGAACAATTTTGGAGAAATAGAAACTATAAGAAGGAATCAACAGGAAATGCTAGAAGTAAAAAAAGAAACACAGGGAGAAAAATGCTAAACAGCAGACTTGACATAGCCAAAGAAAGAATCAGTGAGAATGAAGGTCAAGTTTATTGATCAGGTCAATAATATTAAAACACACCCTGGCTGGTGTGGTTCAGTGGACTGAGTGCGAGCCTGTGAACCAAAGTGTTGCCAGTTTGATCCCCAGTCAGGGCACATGCCTGGGTTGCAGGCCAGGTCCCCCAGTACAGGGTGTGTGAGAGAGGCAATCACACATTGATGTTTCACCCCCCTTTTTCTCCCTCCCTTCCCCTCTCTCTAAAAATAAATAAAATCTTTTTAAAAATTAAATTAAAACAAAAAGAGATGAAAGAGTGAAAAAAACAGAACATTGCATACGAAAACTGGGACAATATCAAACAGCCTAGCATACTTGTAATTAGAATCCCAGAAGGAGAAGGGGGGAAATGGGGTATAAGAATTATTTGAAGAAATAATGGCTGAGTACGTTTCCAAAATTCTTGATAGACAACAAACCATAGATACACCAACCAGGATAAACAGAAAAGAACACCAACCAGGATAAACAGAAAAGAAATAAATAAGCCACACCAAGGCAAAGACAGACTATGAAGGCATCCATAGGAAAAGAGACATGTTAACTACAGAGGAACATGGGTAAGAATTACAGCAGACTTATCAAAAACCACATAAACAAAGCAACGGTGGAGTTATATGTTGAAAGAGGGAAAATAATTGTCAACTCAATTCCATATCCCATGAAAATATCCTTCAAAAGTGAAGAAAAAAAATGAAGACTTTCTCAGACAAACAAAACAAAAAAATTACTGCCAGCAGAGCTGGCAATAAAAAAAATGTTAATGGAAAATTTTTTAGGTAGAAACATTATGATTAAGGTGAAAACTTGGATTAGCATAAAGAAATGAGCATTAGAAAAAGAATAAATTACTGTAGAATATTTTATTTTCAAAATGTTTGAAAAGCCAATTTCCCAGACATTAACCAAGGGCCAATCTTGCAAGCAGGCCTCCTAAAGACAGCAAACAGCCTCAGGTCTACTGTTTACTCTTTTCAGCACAAAAGAGTATATATTTTTAAAAACCTACAGCTAACATCATACTTAATGATGAGAGAGAGAATGCCTTCCAAGATCGGAACAAGCATGTTTTCTCTCACCACTACAATTCTGTTAAAAAAGAAAAAAGTAAGAGCACTCATATTACCTGATTTCAAGACTTACTATAAAGCTACACTAATCAAGACTTTGTGATAATGGCAAAATGATAGACATAGATCAATGCAACATAACAGAGAGCCTAGGAATAGACCCACACAAGCACGGTCATATTTTTGACACAGGTGAAAAAACAATACAATGGAGAAAGATAGTCTTCTCAACAAGTGATTCTTGAGCTACAGGACTAGCATTTGCAGGAAAATGAACCTTGACATACAGCTCACATTCATGACTGGTGGGAACACAAAATGGTACAACTGCATTTGGAAGACAGTTTGGCTGTTTCTTATAAAAATTCAGCAATCTCACTCCTAGGTACTTACCCAAATGAAGTGAAAACTTACATTTACACAAAAACTTGTATGCTAATGTTAACTGCAGCTTTATTCATAATTGCCAAGAACTAGAAACAGCCAAATTGTCCTTCAACCAGTGAATTGAACAAATGGTGCTACATCCATACAATGGAATGTTAGTCAGTGATAAAAGGAACAGGCTAAATAATTCATATAATATGAATGAGTCAAGTAAAACAGGGGTCCTCAACCTCCCTCCTCCCCACCTGTGGACACCAGTGGCACTATGAGCTCTGCCTCTTGTCCCCCCACCCCACCACCCACCCCACCTGTGGAAAAATTTTCTTCCACAGAACTCGGTGCCAAAAAGTTTGGGGATCACTGAAAAGAAGCCAGACCAAAAAAAGTACATATTGTATGAGTCCACTCACATGATATTTTGGAAAAGGCAGGACTATAGTTAAAAATTCAGAAGTACACTATTCTGAGGTACTTCTAGGAAACAAAACTGACAGAATATATCTATATCTATATTTATATTTATATCTGTGTGTGTGTGTGTGTGTGTGTGTGTGTGTGTGTAAATAGAGATAGCTCCGGCAAGGTCAACTTAGGTGGGAGTCCATGGAAGTTCACATCACCATCACCATACACTACCTCTCTTTAAATCAATGTATTTAATTTTTAAAATAGGGTAGTATATGCACATGGCTTAAAATTCAAAAAGTATATAAAAAATTATATGCAGTGAAAAGTCTCCCTCCATCTCTACCCCAGCCATGTATGACCCCAAATTATCAGTGTCCTGAATATCCTTCCAGAAATATTTTATGTCTCTGTATGCAAAAATGTGTTTGCATGTATTATTGCTCCCACTATCTATTTTACACAAATGATAGCATATAATACACACCATTCTGTTTCTTGCTTTTTTTCATTTTGTAGATCTAGGAGATCATACAATATCAGTGTAATATTCTAACGTACAATCAAGCCTTGATTGATACTTTGGATATTATGGATCTTTTGCTATTATAAGCAATCAATACTCCAAGTAATATACAAATATTTGTTGAATTCCTATAACTGTTTGCTGGGTCAAATGACATGTGCATTTATAATTTTGATTTAATTTTTATATAGTTCCAAGTCACTGACTTTGAAAATGGCAGAGATTTTTCATTTTTAACTTTTATCCTAGGTGAAAAGAAGGGAAGCTGAGATTCTATCACCAGGCAATTTTCTGGAGGAATGTACACTCTATAAGATGTACAACGTGAGCCTTAGAATGTATACTCTTAAGTTTCCCACACATACTTCCTAGGATCCGGTTGCATTTTCATGCAATACATTTCAGGCCACAGGCTGGTTATAAAGCCCATTTCAGTTATGTCAAAGGTGTTACTTCCGAAATCTTCACAATCACATGGCCAAATTGCTGGCTGCCAGCCACTCACTTCACAGCACAGTATTGGATACTTCCCTGCAATCACAGGGAGATTTTTAAATGTCGAGCAAGTGAAACATCTGCAGAGAATCCTTTGTCCTTGTTACAATGCCCACATAAGGATTTCTTCTCTTAGGTAAAAACTATAAATCACATAATAAAGGTTATGAGGAAAGGGTGCAAAAGTTTCTCTCATTTTTCAGGTAGTGATGGATTCCCAACTAACTGTCTTTTTCTTGACTACAAACTCTAGTATAGCCTAGTACACTACAATTTTTGTCATAAAGCTTGAACAGTCAGAGAAAGATAAATACCACATGATTTAACTTGTATGTGGAATCTAAAGAACAAAATGAATGAACAAACAAAACTGAAACAGACTCACAGACACAAAGTGAACTGGTGGTTGCCAAAGGGGAGCAGTGTTCAGGGACTGGGTGAAAAACATGAAGGAATTAAGAAGCACAAATTGGTAGTTACAAAATAGTCATGGGGACATAAGAAAAGCATAGAGAATATAGTCTGTAGTATTGCAGTAACTATGTATGGTGCCATTGGGGTACTGGAAATATTGAGGGGAACACTATATAAAGTATATGATTGTCGAACCACTAAGTTGTACACCTGAAACCAACACAAAATAAATTGAAAGAAAAAAAAGTTTAAACAGGAGGCTGAGGAAACCCAGGGGTGGGGCTCCTTTCATAACAGCCACACAAGATCAGTGAGCAATCAAACCACTTACAAGAATATCTATGTCCAGAGCCACATTGTCTCCCTTTGGTTTCTTCATGGAAAAACCATCACTCAGCTCCACACTCACTAAAAGAGTAGATAGAAGGAAGGTAACACAGTCATTATTTAGTCTTAAGAACACACTACATTTAGATTTATCAAAGGAAAAGAGGTTACATTCATTAATAATTATTATGCATTACAACAGTAATGCCCCCCCCAATTTTTCATATCTCCTCATATCCGTATCTTTGGATGGTCCCCTCCCATTATGACTGGGCTTGACCATGAAGGCACTCCTATGCTTTGGCTGATAGAACAATATCAGATGTGACACAAGAAGACACTTGAGAACTGCTTTGGCACTGATGATTGCTCTCACTTGCTGCTGTTTGTATCTTTGAGACCACCATGTTAGGAGTCCAGACTAGACAGCTGGAGGAGATGAGCCACCCTAGCTTAGGTTCTCCTAGATCAACCAGTCTGCCAACCACCAGATCACCCACACCCAAACCTAACTGACACAAGCTATTTCGAAGTAAATATGTTTGTCACCTGATACACATGGAAAGGGGAACAGCACAATGGTTTTCCCCATGAAGTTTAGTTTGCATATAAGAAATAGTTTCAAATAGAAAAACCTCCAGTACCTGGATTAGAATAAATAAATATGTAAGTATTGAAAAATGCCTAAGTCTTCCCAGAGTCTCACAAATGTGCTGTCTGCCATCACAGATGGCACATACCAAAAAAACAAAACACATAAAAAATTTCCATTTAGTCACTAAACCATCTTTGTCATGATATATTTAAATCAAAGTCTTATACTCAACAGTTCCATTTGTAACACTGAACAACAACTCGGGTTTCCAGGAATTTTTCTCCCAATTCTACATTTTTACCCCATTTGACAAGGCCTGTTTGAAAGCTGAAAGAGTTCCTTAATGCAGCCCAGAAAGTATCAGATATATGAGACTAGTTAAACTTCCTTCTAGAAGCAGTCTGCAGGACTAGCTTCTAGCAATGCGGCAACTCTTTTTAGCTATGTTAGTGATGGGAAATAAAAACTGTTTAAGTTCTATATACCCGGGTTAGAAACATTGCCTGTATTAGATCACAAAGTGGGACACTGAAGTGGAAATGACTTTATTAAACCACTTTTGTTTAGGTCTCACTAGATGCTTTTCTGGATTAAAAACTCTCTCTCTCCCCCTCTCTCCCTCCCTCTCCCCCCCCTCAGAAAAAGTGAAAAACACCTTCCAGCAGCTTCCCATTGTCCTTGGAATAAAACACAAGCTCCTTAATAAGGTCCCACAAGGCTCTGTAAATCTTCCCCAGCCTACTAGATCTCTCTTTCCCCGGGTCCTAGCCAAACCTCTGAGGATCCTTTCCACATCTCTCTCCCACCTCAGTGCCCTCACAACACCTGATGTTCCTTCTTGCTGGCAATCTACTCTCTCTGGCTTGTACCTTGCTTATTCCTGCTCATCCTACAGGGCCCAGGACACCTTGCTGGTCTCCCTCACAGAAGCATTCTGTCTCTTACTTGCTGTGTGACCTGGGGAAGTTACCATTGCTTCTCCTCTTTGAGCCTCACATCTCAGAGAATATCCTAAGTTAAGCATTTGGCACAGTGCTCAGCACACAGGAAATGGTCAATAAGTCATCACTGCTGTCACTGTTATCTCATATAAAGCAATCTCCATCATAGCACTTAGTACAATTAGTAATTATTTATTTGTAGAAAAAATAGAAACCCCCCCATTACACCTTACTACCTAATACCTTTCATGCTATTTCCCCACATACTATATTTTTGGAGGGGAAGATGAAATGAATGTTTACAGAGCAATTGTTATCTCAATTAATTATTACCTCAGAGATGTGGTTTGGCAGATGCAGAAACTGAAGCCAAGATCAAGTGGTAGACTAGAATCCAAATTGGCCTCACTCCATCCATAGCCTGTACTGGGTGCACTAACACCAAAGGCTTCCCTAACTGATGAACTTTGTCACCTAAGAGCAGCAAATCTCAGACAAGATGGATCTTCACATTCTCATATATCCCAAACGACTCCCAGGTATCTACTCTTCAGATCCTTAATGGGCCTGGAGTTACAATCATCCCCTGTAAACTCCTTCAGTAGAACACTCTTTGCCTGACTGTGATGGTAGTTTTCCTTATTTCCTTTCCACTGGATGTTGAGCTCTTAAGGGGATGAATATCTTTCACCTCTTTATGCTCACAGCAAATAGGAGGCATGCAATACGTTTGCTGACTGAATTTAAAATGTTGGAGAATATATATGGCTGCAAAGTTGAGGGGGTGATAGAGTGTATTTTCATAACAATATTTAAATTTGGCATAGTTAGGAACAAATGACATAAATGATAACAAAAGAATTTATCTTAACCATTTTACAACTGATACTGATTTCTATATCCAGCACCAGAGATTCCAGGTGATTTACAAATGTGTGTTTCATGGCTGTATGTAGACTTCACTCCATCTCTGGGGTCCTACATCACCATCGATATTTTGCTGTACCCCGTGGCTGCACGTGAGCTACTCTTCATGACAGGATGTCCTTGACAAATACCAGTCTCTCAATGGTTACTCTTGAATTGTTCATAAAAAGAAACAGAAAGGACAGATGATAAAGCAAATGGGAACAAACTGTTAATAACTGGCAACCTTGTGTAAAAGGAATATAGGAGTTCTTTGTACTATTCTTGCAACTTTTTATAATTATAATCAGAAAAATAAGTTTTTAAAATTAAAAAAAATAAAAACAATTTCCCAGGAGATTCTAACACACAAGGCCTACTGTATTGGCCTTGTTGGTCCCAAATTCTCTTGCCAACTATTCCCAAAAACCACACTCTAGGCTTCAGTTTCCTTGCCTATCAGCTGATATCAAGGGACAGGGAGCTCCTTGGGTAGCAGGGCTCAGCCATGGTTTCTGGGTTGTGACAAGTGATTAACTTATTTACTGCTTGAAGTGTATTAATAAATGCTTTGGTACCTCCTATTGGTCAAAGCCCCAGTACTATTTCCGCACACTAAGCCCCCTACTTTAGTTGGCTGCCCTCTGAGTTCTTACTTTCCTTTTCCCAAACTTAGCTATGGGGTCAGGCAAATTCTCCCCAGGACCCTTTTTTCTTGCTGTCCCCTAAGAGAGCACTGAGACAGTTCTGATGGTAAGAGCTCTGCTGCTATTGTCTGTGGAGAAACCTATAGGGAGGAGACAAAAATATCCATAGGGAGTCACAAACAATCCAGAAAACAGAAAACTCAAAGGAGTAGTTACTTGGTCTGTAATGACCACTTACTAGCACACTTTTATTCATTCATTACTTCTACCCATTCATCCTAGCCCCTACCCACCCCACAAACCAAAATGCTTCAGCTTTCCCAGCCATTGTAACTGGAACACAATAGGCAGAAACTTATAAACCACTCAAATGTCCCCATGTTAGCCATCTTAGGAGAGTGCCAGATGGGTGTTACCCAACACCCACCCCCTAACTATAAGAAGTAAATAAAGATCATATGTAAGCCAGCATATGATGTCTACCTTCCTCAGCTCCTGTTTTGTGTAAGCTTCACAAGAGGTAGGTGCATTATGTCCTAAGATAATGTTCAACCTCTGTCCCTGATCAAGGCTTATAAGAACCCTCTGTAATGACATGTTTTCACAAATACCTCCTGCTTCCTGATGCCTCCTGCTTCCCCAAGTTCCCCCCAGATACTTGCCTAGTTCCAGCCAGACATCAAAGTAGTAGGAAAAAGAAGAAAGGTTTTGTGTAGCTTAGGGGAGAAATGGGTTGCTATGGCTGTTGGAACACCAGGAAGGTAAAAGACAAGCATTATCAAAGGATCATCTCCAACCTGCAAGCCTTCAACATGCTTTGTTCTTTAACTTTTGTTAACACATATGTTTCAAGTCTGAGAGCCCTGTACCATCACCTGTCCTGTTCCTGAGGACCTCCTCTACAGGCCATATGGTGGGTCACAGGTACCCCTAAGCTGCTTCCAAGTCACTCCCAGTTGATTACAAATACTTCAGGAAGGAATGGGAGGCCTTTTTCCACTTTCCCTTACCTGTAACCAAGATTCATAGGCTTGTACAGTTGAGGAGGCCAAGGAGTAGCAATATGGCTCAGAAAACAGGTAGACAGAAAGTGTGGGTTCTAGAACCAGACCTGTATTGTCTGGACAAAGAATTGTTGTTTCCAGACAACAATATTAGGTTAAGAGCTCTTTTCTAGCAAACAAAAGTGCAGAGAAGAGCATACTTAAAGAAAAGGTGGTAATGATGGTAGTTCACACTGAGAAGCACTTACCAAAGATCTCATGTAATTCCTTCACCCCTTGAAAAGAGGTATCATCCTTTTGCAGTTCAATTATTTAAGCTCAGAGTTCACTTTAAATGTAAAAAAAAAAGTTATGAAGGTAGAATACTCCTAGGATAAACTAAAAAAGAAACAAAACATTTACTTCCACTTCTCTGGAGAGTAATTATATGATGTGCTAAAAGCATGAGAACCACAGTATTCAAAGGGTACAGAGGCTGAGATTCACATTCTCATTATTTACAGATATTATGAAATTATTAAAATAAATAAAAACACAATGCTTTGTTCAGGCCGACTGACTCCTTTCCCATACACACCCCTCTCCCCCAAGCTAAGAAGTGGCTGCAGGGAAGGTATTTAAGAGAACTACTCTGGAAAAGTGGATTCTGGGTTGCTTAAAGTAAGCCAAGATATGCACTCTCTACCTAAATTATTTTAGAGTTAGAAAGAAGCAGACAGTTATCTTTACCAGATTGAATACAGGGAATGAGGTCGTTTTTCCCTCCAGGCCACTGGAAACACAGTTCTGATTTCTTGTACAATCAGACGGTGGAAGGGGGGTGGGAGTGGGGGGGCACCGGCATCTCCTCCTCAGCTTCACAGTTAAACGGAACTCACATCAAAAAAAATCTCGTGCACATCTGAAGCCATCGATTTCCTTGCAACTTAGAAAGTCAGAAAAGTGGCCAAACAAGTTTCTTGCCAAATGCCTAGAAGCCACATATGTCCCAGAGCTACAGAATGATAACAACTTTTAACATGCCTTCACATACCACCATTATGGTCACTAACTTAGGATCCCGCCCCTCTTCCCTCCTTCCAAATAAGAAACGCAGGTTGCCCTCTGCAATTTAAAGCCCGATTTCTTCGAAGCAGTGGTTCTGAAAAGCGAGAGAATAAGACTAAAGGCAAGCTATCTCTTTTTTTTTTTTTAATCGATTGCCCCATGGCGGAGGGAATAAGGCCAACTTGATTGCTGGAGAAAAGTTAACTTTGCTGAACCCAGCGGTGGGAAAATTTCCCCAGAAGACTCGCAAAGCCCTCCCGCTTTTCCCACCCCTAGGACTGCCTGGCGCTCAGTGACCGACCACAGTTCCAGATCGGCATCGCCCAAACAATAACGTGAGGGGGAGGGAAAGTTCGCAAGCCCGCGGACCGCCCGGGCTCACCGGGTGCCTCGCTGCTCCCCGCACCACCCGTCCCCCTCTCCCGGTACTCTGTTCTTCCTGCCTCCCAACATAGAAATAGCCGGGGCGCGCCCCCGCTCCCAGAGCATCTGGTCCCAAGCAGCCCGCAGAGCAGGTCCTCCCGCGGGTTTGACCCCGTGAGCCCCGAGATCAGGCAGAGGATAGGGAACGAGGGGGCGTCGGGAGGAGGAACCGGAGGGAACCGCTGCAACAGTTATGGCGCTCGAAGCCTGCCCGACTGTGGCTGCAACGAAGCTCAGGCGCCCGCGCCCGCTCCCGCCCCCCGCGCCAGCCACAGCCGGCCACTTTACCTCAGCGAGCACACGCTCTCAGCCCCCGGGCGCCGAAGTGCCTCGAGGCTGGGCCGGGACGCTGCGCCCCACGCTGCCAGCTCCAGCTCCCCGAAACCGCCCCTCCCGTGCCCACCCGGCGCACCGCCCCCCAACCCGCTTGCGCCCAGTCCGGCTTTAGTGGCGCCTACCTTGGCGCAGCCAGTCGCGGCTCCCTCCGGGCTCCACGCTCGGGTCCGGCAGTGCCCAGCGAGTCTGGTAGGAGTGGTAACCGCCCCACGAACTCCTCGCTTTCTTCTCTCCCCTCCCTCGCACCTGCCCCCTAATCTCCTCCCCTCCCCCGCCCCCCCCCCCAGCCGCCGGATCCCCGGGGCCGCCCCCTGCGCCTCAGCTCCCGCCCTCGGCCCTCGCTAGCCGGGCCCGTCAGGCCTCAGCGCCGGGCAGGCAGTTGGGCGGCGGCAGCGCAGCGGCGGGTGAAGCCGCGCGGAGCACTATTGTATTCCTGACACTGTGCGCTCCCACGCTCCGCCTCTTCCCCTTCCTTCCTCACTCTCCCGCACCCCCGACTCCCACCACCGGCCGCGCTCGCCCTACCCGACTGGCTCCCCGCTGTCCGCCAGCCGCGAGCTCTTCTGGCGGGCTGGGCGCCGTCGCCACCACTAGCGCGCCTCAAGGCTCCGCCCACTTTGTGCTCCCGCACTCGCGGCGCAGTATTCCAGGTGGGTTCCACCGCGCTTCTGAGGCCAAGTGCCAGGGAGGGTCTCGGGAAGGTGCCTCGCCTGTATTCAAATACAAACTAAGCTTTTCATGGCCCCTTACAATTCCAAAGTTCTATAAGTGGACCTTCACGTAGAAAACTTGTCAGCCACTATTGACTTAAATCGTTTTGTGCTTGGATTACCTATAATGATAAAGCCAGGGTGGCTATTAACAGAATGCACTTAGTTGAAAGCACAAATGATTTATGATGTGTGGCTTTTTGATGTGTCAACTTGGTTAGGCTACAGCCCCCAGCAATCAAACATTAATCTACGTGTTGCCGTGAAGATATTTTCATAGAATTAAGGCTCCAGATCAATTGACTTAAAGTAAAAGAGATGATCCTTTCTGACTGTGTGTGCTACAGATTTTGAATTTGTTTAGCCAGCCTCACAATTGTGTAAGCCAATATCTTCCAATAAATGAATGAATAAATTATATAGATAGATATGGATATAATGTCCTATTTGTGTGCTTCTCTGGTAGAATCCTGACTCATACAGCTGCTTAAGCAAAAAAACCACCCTTTTTCATTTACCTATCTGGGTTTGGCTATGTACCATGTGCAATTACCATGAACTCATATTGTCATTTTCATTTACATTTCTAGGCTAAACACAAGCGTACGCTCTTTTATATTTTGTATGTTTTCCATATTAAAGATATAATTCTATTTTATAATATGCAAATGTGTGAGTTCTAAAATATTCATAATCCTTCAGACTTACCTCATTTTATTATTCTTACTCTGAAATAATTATTGAATCACAGGCTCTGTAAAAATATTACAGAGCAGTCCCATATACTTTTCAGTCCCCCATTTCCCCCAAAGGTAGTATCCTTACATAACCAAGATACTGACTTTGGTACAATCCACAGACTTTATTCAGTTTTCACCAGTTTTACATGCACTCGTTTCTGTGCCTTTATATATAGTACTGTGCAATGTCATCATGTGTAGATTTGGGTAATCACCACATTTAACTGTTCCTCTACCACAAAGATTCTTTCTGCTACACAATACAGTTACTTTCATCTCCTTCTACTCTAACCCAGCCCCTGGCAAACCCTAACATGTTTTCCATCTCTGTAATTTTATTACTTTATGAACATTATGTAAATGGAATCATACTTTTTGAAATTGGCTTTTCTACACTCAGCAGAATTTTCTTGAGATCCACCCAAGTTATGATGGAAGCACAATCAATAGTTCATTCTTTTTTATTGCTGATTAGTAATATTGCTATAGTATGGATATACTACAGTTTATTCATCCATTGAAGGACATTGGGGTTGTTTCCAACTTTTGCCTATTAAGAATAAGACTGCTATGAACATTTATGTATAATTTTTTTTGTGTGTAAACATACATTTTCATTTCTCCGTGACAAATGCCCAAGAGTGCAATTTCTGAGTTAGATAGTAAGTGTAAATTTACTGTTATAAGAAACTGCCAGAATTTTCCAGACTATCTGTGTCATTTTACATTCCCACCAGCAATGTATGAGAAACATCCAGTTTCTCCACATTTTTGCTGGCATTTGGTATCGTCACTATATTTTTATTGTAGACATTCTAATAGTTGTGTAGTGATATATCTGTTTTAAATTGCATTTTCTTAACAGCTAATGATGTTGAACGTCTTTTCATGTGCTTGTTTTCTGTGTATCTTTTTTTTGGTGAAATGTCAGTTCATGTCTTTTGCCCATTTTCTAACTGTATTTGCTTCTTACTGTTAAACTTTGAGAATTTTAAAATATACTCTAGATATAAGTTTTCTGTCAGATAGATGGTCTACAAATGTTCTTCTCAGTCTGTAGATTGTTTTTTCATCCTCTTAATAGATTTTGCAGACCAAAATTTTCAATTTTGATGAACTCCAACTTATCAATGTCTGCACTTACATAGTGTCCTTGTGGTGTCACCCAGCCCTGAGTTCCACAAATTTTCCATTATATTTCCTTCTAAAAGTTTCATATTTTACATTTAAATCCATGATTCATTTTAAATTAATTTTTGCATAAAATGTAAAATTAAGGTCGAGGTTCATATTTTTTCTATGGATGTCTGATGGCTTAATTTGTTAAAAATGACTTTCTTCCACTTACTGCTTTTGCCCCTTTGTCAAAATGAGTTGGGCATATTTGTGTTGGGCTATTTGTATGGGGCTATTTCTGGGTTCTCTATTTTGTTCTACTCTATGTGCCTATCCTTTTATGAATACCAAAGTCTTGGTTACTAGAGCTATATAGTAAGCCTTAACATTGATAGAGTGATTCCTCCCACTACACTCTTCTTTAAAATTGTTTTTTACCTATTCAGGGTCATTTGCCTTTCCATATTATTTTGTAATGAGCTTGTCTCTACCTACAAAAACCTTGATGGTATTTTTATAGGAATTGTGTTAAACCTATAGATCAATTTAGGGCAAATTGACATCTTTACTATATTGAGTGTTCCATCCATGAACACTCTATGTGTATCTGTCCATTTATTTAGATCTTTGTTTTCTTTCATCAGCATTTTGGGATTTTCAGCATATAGATCCTGTATGTTTCGTTAACTGTATACCATATTTTATTTTCTTTGGAGTGATCATAAATAGTGTTGTGTTTTATATTTCAGCTTCCTCATTCATTGTTCCTTATTAGTACATAGAAATGCAATTATTTTTTGTGTGTTGATCTGGTATTCTTTGACTTTCCTGAACCCAATTATTATTTCTAGGAATTTTTTGGTAGATTCTTTGGAATTTTCTACATAGACAATCATATCATCTATAAATATAGACAGTTTCATTTCTTTCTTTTCAATCTGTATGCCTTTTCTTTTCTTTCCTTTTCATTCAGTCTAGAACTTTCAGTATGTCAGATAAGAGTGGTGTGAGTGGACATCCTTCCCTGTTCCCTTTCTAGGGGGAAGCATTCCATCTTTCATCATTAATAAAACTATTTCCTGTGTTTAAAAAGATGCTCTTTACCTACCAAGTTGAAAACATACTCTTCTATTTTTAGTTTCTGAGAGTTTTTATCATGAGTGCTGAATTTTGTCAAATGCTTTTTCTGTATCAGTTGACATGATCATCTGAGTTTTCTTCTTTAGCCTGTGGCTATAGTAGATTATACTGATTGAATATTGATTTTTGTAAAAGATGAAAGATTTATACAATCTGAAGAGAAACCAGAGTATATGAATATCGATTTTTGAACTAACCTAATGTAGTTGGAATAAGTCCCACTTGACTGTGGTATAATTCTTTTATAGCTTTCTGGATTCTATATCACTAATATTTTGTTAGATTTTGGTGTCAGTATTCATGAGAGAATTTTTAGAGTTTTTTTTCATACTTTGTCTGGTTTTAGCATAATACTGGCTCCATAAAATGAGTTGGAAAGTTGTGCAGAAAAGAGTTAACATAGCAGGCCCTTGGATGGCATCTGGAAACTTGGATTTAGGGTGAGTTCCCACCATTCCCAGTACTGATAAGAGTGGATCACTGTGCCTAAACTGTTTGTATAAACAGTATGGTTTGTATTGAACATCTGCTTTCTTTCTGCAAGCCTGGAATTTCGGTGTTAGGGAGGGGGTGCCTACATGACCAACCCCCAATAAATGCCCTGGGAACTGAGTTTCTAATGAGCTTCCCTGATAGAAGACATTTCACATGTGTTGTCATAACTCTTTGCTGGAGAACTTAAATACATCCTGTGTGACTCCACTGGGAGAGGACTCCTGCAAGCTCGTATTTGTTTTTTTTTTTTTAGACTCCAACCCACGTGCCTTTTCTCTTTGCTGATTTTGCTCTGTATTCTCTTACTGTAATATAGCATAGCCATGAATCTGACTATATGCTGAGTTCCTATTGAGTCATCAAACTTGGGAACAGAAGTGTTCCCTCCTCTTGGTATTCTAGAAGACAGTGTTTAAAATTGGTGTTAATTCTTTAAATGTTTGGTTGAATTCTCCAATGAAACTATATGGATCTGAGCTTTCCTTTTTCAGATCTTTTAAATTACAAATCTAATTTCTTTAATTGTTATTGATCTATTCAGATTATAAATTCCATATTGGTTGAGTTTTGGTAGTTTGTGGTTTTCAGGCAATTGGTCCATTTATGTGTATAGGGTTTTTCATAGTATTCCATTTTATTACACACATGCATCATCCCACATATTTTTATACCCCCCCTTTGGTGGGAACATTTAAGGACTACACTTAGCAAATTTCAATTATAGAATATGGTATTACCAACTGTAGTCATCATGTTATATACAGTAACTCCTCAGACCTTGTTCATCTTATAGCTAAAAGTCTGTACCCTTTTACCAACCTCTGTATTTCCCCTACCTTCCAGTTCCTGGAAAACTATTCTACTCTGTTTCTTTGAGTTCAACTCTATTTCTTAAGATTCCACATATAAGAGATACCATGGAGTATGTGCCTTTGTCTTCATGGCTTATTTTACTTAGCTTAATGCCTTTCAGGTTCAACCAAGTTCCTTCTTTTTTAAGGTTGAATGATCTATCTATTATCTATCTATTTAT